TCGAAAAGAACTGACTGCTCGGTCAATGAATGCTGAATGTTTTCTTATAAGGGAAGAGATGAGAACAGATACTACACATTGATCCTAGACTACGGCCAGGGAGTTAAGAAAAGTGTAACTTAAATAGCATTGGTTAATGAATGTTGAATGGCTAATATTACCATGACCATTATAAATGAGGAGAACAGGTACTACAATTTAAGCCCAAACTGATCCTCAAGGAGTGAAGAAAAACGTAATTTGATAGCACTGGCTATTCGGTCAATGAATGTGGAATATTTCCTTATAAGGAAACGGCTAATATTATCATTACCATTAGTGTGCATTCTATAGGACTCGATTTTATTCTGATTCATTGATTTTGATATTAATGTCCCTAACTTCTGGATACTCATTGATTTAGATAAAATTGCCTGACAAGAATATGAAAAGGTAGCAATTCAAAGATAAAGATATATGTTTTTATTATAAACAATATGATTACTCTAGAACAATGGTTCCCAAATTTTTTTCTCTGGGCAGCATTTTCGGAATGAAAATCTGCTCGCGCGTCATCAAATTTATGCGATAAAAAGTACATTTAAAAATAATAAAAAACAACGACTAATAGTACATTAAATATAATATATAACAAGCGTAACTTATGATTAAAGTACACAAAGGTCTTGTTTTTGACGAGTAATCTTGGGAAGGATAGTCCCGGTGAAGAGCGCAAACAGCCCTACGGCAAAGAAGAGCCAAAGTGAGTGTGAAAGGGAGATAACTGCGAATTATAATTGTCAGAACATTATCATTGATAACTCTCTCCTCCAATTTGTGGATCCTTGTTATTATGTTCTTATACTTAATAGAATGCAAAAATATCACAATGATAAAATCAGTCAATAATTATTTATAACTATTTATAGTGGGTTTCATGCATGCAAATACAAATAATCATAACAATATTTTAAACTTTGAAATCATATTTATTTTTGCCATATGATTTTTTTGAAACTGTTTCTAAATCTTTGATTGTCTTTCAATCATTCTGACTCACATGATAGAATCTTAATTCGCACCTTTCAGACATGCCGCGCAGTTTTGGGAAACGCTGCTCTAGAACAATTACTTTATTTTACTCAACAGCTTTATCGATTGAACACGATTAGTGCCCTAGGATATCTGATCACTGTTGATTGAGTTCATATTATTATTTACACTACGAACATATGAACTATTGTCCTCATGTTTGATTTGGCGCAAGGTCGAAAGTATGGAGCACCCAGTAAGTAGCGAACGTTTTTACTTTATGTGATCTAGCTAGTGACAATCACTGACCAAATCGCATGAATATTATTTCTGTCACCATCTCCGGCATCTTGGCTTCAGCACCTTAGACGCTGCCGTAACGGAGCTCCCCTTTGCCTTTTCTGTATACATTTTCATCGTAATTGTTCTGATGGGCATTCCTATTTATAACTAGATTTTATGGATTTAAGCGCGTTACTAGATTAGCGGCAACGTCTCAGCATTTTATATTTGAAATGTGTGATAATAAAGAACTATCCCAACCTACCAATGTGATGATAATGAACTATCCCGACCTACCCATGTGATAATAATGAACTATCCCGACTTACCAATAATAAACTATCCCGACCTACCCATGTTATTATAATGAACTATCCCGACCTACCCATGTGATAATAATGAATTATCTCTAGCTACCAATGTGTTAATCCTGACCAACCAATGTAATAATAACGAACTATCCCAACCTACCAATGTTTAATAATGAACTATCCCTACCTACCCATGTGATAATAATGAACGATCCCTACCTACCCATATGATAATAATGAACTATCCCGACCTACCCATGTTATATTAATGAACTATCCCGAACTACCCATCAGATAATAATGAACTATCCCGACCTACCCATGTGATAATAATGAACTATCCCGACTTACCAATAATGAACTAACCCGACCTACCAATGTTATAATAATGAACTATCCAGGCCTACCCATGTGATAACAATGAACTATTCCGACCTATCCATGTAATAATAATGAACTATCCCGACTTACCTATTTTCAATACTAACCTCTCTTTATAAGTTCTGTCTGATTGCTAACAGTTCAGCGCAGCAGAATAAAACCTCTAAAGTTGATATTCGGCGTTGTCTATTCATTAAAAAATGGCTAAATGTAACTGGAAGTTCTATGGTAAGAGTTTTTCTCTTGCATTTCTCGCGCGCGTAATTCGCTTCCAGCTTCTTGCTTTCCAGTTAACGTTGATTTTCTAAAATTTAAATGCAATATCAATCATTATCTTCTGTTCTTTCATTGTTTCCTCTCTCTACTTTCTCATATTCTCTCGCAATAAGTAATTCCACGATTCCTTGCTTGGCGTGAAATGGTTTATAATATCACTTTTACAGTTTCAACAGACGCCATAATATTGCAATTATTCAGTTATAAATTCTGAAGCAATCCTACGTGTGCATTTTTGAGTTGGATGTGTATAAAGTGAATAAGAAAATTAAAAGTATTTCAAAATTATTATTTATAATGATATAACATATCTATAAAACCAAATAAAACATATGTTAATAATATATCCCCTCACCCCCAAATCATCACAGCGATAGAAATATCAGTTAAACAGAAAAATGCGGGACTTTACAAGTAAGTAAACCAATCACTCATACGCAAGCATTCACTCATTCAGACACAATGACAATTACGAACAAACGGAAAACAAAATGCATCTCGCACCAACCAGAAAACTGAAATTAATCTCGCCTTATAAATGGCGGGGAGGCTTGAGAATAACTAAACAAGAAAGGGTCAAAAGTAAAAGGGGCCGATGTATTGATATAAATTTTCCAGGGGTATAGTTTAGACTAAGCTATGGAGAAGTCTACCCTTGTAGCGATCATCATCGCCATCACACACACACACATACATACATACATACATACAGATCATACGACAAGCATTCATTGGCTAATCTCCTCAAAACTAGCTCGCTGATTGGTCAATTCCGACCAATCAGATCGCCTGCACGCGAGGAATAACATTTCCCACGCACAAGGCTGGGAGCCTGTCAAGTGAGACACAACCTTATAAAAACAAAACACAAATAAGCCTCTCTCGTTCTCTTCGTTCATCTTTTTCCTTGCTGCCAAGGTCTAGTCTTCAAGAGCTCCCGTCTTAACCGTGCGGTCAGACGTTAAAGAACATTGCCAACAACTCTTACCGACTTTTTCGCAAGTCGTCAGTAGAGTCTAGCACATTTCGCCTGTCAACACAAACCTATGACTTTACTCACATTTCAAACGCACACACCGACACAGAATTTTGTAATACATATATACATATCTTTCTGTCACTCAGCCAATTTCAATCAACCAGGACTCTGTTGATTTCTCTAACACAACACACTTTCGGATCAATTGTATTCTTGTGTTATCTATTCTAACAAACAGTCCTTTGTTCTAATATTGATTCCTGAACATTTTTCTCTCCCGAGAACTTTCTTTCAAACAATCAAATACAAATCAAAATACGGTAAAAGGAAGCAACTTCTTTTTCTTTAATCTATATATTGAATACAAATTATTGTATATTTCGTTCGTGTATGTTATTTCAATATATACTTGTTGATTGACATTTGGAGTTTCGTTGTTTTCTTGAATCATTAATAATACAAAAGATATATGCGTTAAAGAACACGCCCCATAACACTCTCAATCATACCAGGAGGTTTATTATGGACTAGGCTAAACTATACTTGGTTATATTCTAGGAGGGGATTAATATAGGCTACTTCACTGGCGATATTTCTCTATTGTGATGGTTTCGCTAGAATTAAAGACACTCTTTTGGATGATTCCACTTACCAACCGTCAAAGAATGAGCATAACCTATTTTGATGTTTAAACAGCCAGACAAAAACTATTTCATTTTATGTGTACTTCCCTAAAAGTTCATTTATAAAGAAAGTATGTTGTAGAGCAGTTGTTCTACCCCCCTTTTTTACCTATGGGCGACTTTTACTCTTGATTTTCTTTCGTGGTTCCCCATAACCACTGGATAAGAAAAAAACGTTTTATTTTTACTAATAGATAAGTTTAAGAATTGTATTATAGAAATAGTAAATGTATTTACTTTCTTTATACATAATCCTTATATTATTTAAATATTAAATTACTTTTATTATTAATATTTTATTTTTTTAAATATTTTATATTAATTAATTTATGCTAATAGAGTAATATTTTATTTTATTTTAATCTTGTATATGACTGGCAACTTTTCTTTGAGAGACACTTATATATATATATATATATATATATATATATATATATATATATATATTTTTATGTATGTATAATACACATATATATATATATATATATATATGCATAATACATTTACATATATGTATAATACATTTACATATATATATATAATATATTTTATATATATATGTATAATACATTTCGTCAAGTAGTCTAAGATGAATGTGTGAGCGCGTTTGTGTATTGGAAACTATTTGTTTAAATTGGCATAGGAGAGAAAGTTTTTTTTTGTTTTTGTCTTATCTAATATCCTTATAAATTGAAGTTTCACAAAAAATAATTTACTGGATATTCATTTAAGACTTTCTTATCTTTACTTATATCAGTTACCAAGACAACAGGATATCGGATGGAAGACTATTGAATTTATTTTATGATTTAGGAAATCAAATTAAGATTTTATTTCTCAAATCGTAATTTTTTGCATAAAGTTTGAAACAAGGAAATAATGTCTTCTCAGTCATAATTATAACGATACGTTCAAAAACAATTTTCACGTTGCACAACCACCCCTCAGACACAAAAAGTCAAAGTTATTGTTCTTCCAACTCTAAGAGTGAAAAGTAATCAACACTAAGTGACTGATCTAATCTTTTTATATCAATGATTGGCTAAACTAAACGGACTAGGTCTCACGAGTATATCACATTAAAACATCAGTTCTCGTCCGTTCACTGAAGTTAAGCAACGTCGATCCTGGTCAGTACTTAGATGGGTGACTGCCTGGTTATGCCAGGTGCTGTACTCTTGGATGTGCCGGTGGTGTTATAATTGTAATTGGAAATCAGGGAGCCGAGTTCCAATGCTAGTGAGGTTCGTTATATTCATTTACTACCCTTGGAAAAAGTATGAATCCACCTGTTCTCTCCCCAGCTATATGTGAATTAGTAAGACTTGTATCAGTAGATCATTATTATCTGCCAAAATTCTTACAATAAAAAAAGATTAGGAAGCAAGTCCCCATTTATACGGGAAAGAGCCATAATTGTTACTTGACTTGAGAAAGCTATATTCCTGAAAAATTGTTTTAACCGAAAGATTTTATAAATTCCAACTGATCAGTCTGTTCAGTCAATGATTGACGAATGACTTCATATAAGAAAACGATTAATATTACCATTACCCTTTTTCAATAATTACGGAGATCCAACATTATATAGTGATATATTCGGATCAAAGAACTGCGTCAAACTATGTAATAATTAATTTACCATCTTAAAAACACATCATTTGTATTAGTTTTTTTTAATGCCATGTCCGTTGGCGACGTGGGGGATTATTGCTCTCAGCAAATTTCTTTTGTTTTTTATTTGTGAATTGTTACTGTTGGGAAAGATAATGGATTGATTTACCGTTGTTTTCTCCACTGTTTGGAATTCACAGTTGTTCTTCCCCTAGTCTCGCTGAAACTAAAGTCTCGCTGCGACTCAAGTCTCGCTGCGACTCAAGTCTCGCTGCGACTCAATTCTAAAGAAAAAGTCTACCTTGCTATATAATTCATGATTGAAGGGAAAAAGTACGTCGATACCTTTTTTAAGAGCATTTGGGCAAAAGTGAATGGAATTTGAACTGGGCACATCGATCCCACTGTCATCGTCGATATTCGCTACGCTACCACCACACATGCGCGTGTGAGGTTTGTGAAAACATTACCTTTCGTTTGTAAAAATAGATATAGGAGTTCGATTTTTCTTGAAATAATATACACTGGAACATTTACACATACCAAATAATACTCAAACATCGTAGAAATGAGTATTATATAATTGTAAAACTATAATACCTTGAATGTGTAATCATACCATAAACTACAAGTAATAATTAATTACATGAGCATGTCTAACTTCTATAGGCTGTAATTATTCGTATGCTTTACAGATTTTGTTATAAATTTTGCCAAATCATTTTTCAAATTAATTATTTCATTGTATACTTATAAAAGGACAAAGATATCGTGTCTTATAAGTAATGAATTCATTTGCTATTGTTGATAATTATTCTTCTGTGACTATTACTGATGTGTTAGTATCTCGGCTTCATGATAAAATTGATGGAATAAGAGGGTTGAAACTGATAACATTATGGCTGCACATTGAAACTTGATGTCGCCCGAACAAAACCTGCGAATATTAAAAGTCATATCTTGGAATTACATCGCAGAAGAGATCATGCGACTGTCTTTTGTGAGCCAAGGGTTACGTCGGTCTCTCTCGGCAGAGTTTCGCTACTTGAAAGTGGAAGATTGTCGAAGCGAGTAATAGAATTCATTGAAAGAACAGATGTTTCGGCAGGATAAACGAATGACAATGGGAGTAGTTAGAGAAATAGAGACAGAAAAAGACAAAGAATAGAACGAAATAAAGTCACACTCATGTGTGTGTGTGTGTGTGTGTGTGTGTGTATCTATGTACGGAGAAAAAGATAGAGAATTAAATAGAGAGGAATAAAGTGAAATTCTGAGAATGAGAATAAACACAGACAGGGATAGAGAAAAAGAGGGAGAAACATAGGTAAAGGTAGAAGCAAAAACACATCCGTTGAAAAAGAGAGAAAGGATAGAGTGAAACTGGGGAAAACAGATTTAGAGAGACAAATAGATACAAAGATGGATAGAAACAGACAAAAAAAAAGACAAAGATAGAAAGACAGAAAAAGAAAATAAGAAAGCTTGATATGTAGAGAAGAGTAATTAGTAAAGCGGACCAAATTAATGGTTGCAGCTGCAAGAGAAAACAAATGACGATGTCGAAAAAGGTATTGTTAATAGCAGTGTACGATAATATGTATATACACAATATCCAACGAAAAATATATGCTTTAAAATGCTGAGTACACACTATTATACAAAAACAAATTATTTAAGCTAATGATTTGATATTGAACACAGTTATGACATTGTTTTGGGAGCATTGTGTAGCTGATATTGTTAAGCGTTGATCTTATTTATAAACCAACAGTTTATTTATTTTCTTTTGAAACTGTTGACAGTTGAATGTAAAACCAGTGCATGTGTTTTATATTTTTGATGAGGTAAATTATTATTACCTGCAAAAAAATCTTATAGTCTAAAAAATATTTTCGGGCTTTAAATAACCTGCAAATGTTTAGTAAGCTGTAAAAAAGAAAGCAATCACTTAATCACAAAGAAACAAAAACTTGAGAGTTTTAATTACTTACTCATTTATACGCGAGTTCATGGCAGCTATTAAGTAAATATTTGACCGAGCAGTCAGTTTTGCTGTCGGTTGAAATTTATAAGATTTTTCTCTTAAAACCTTTTTTTCAGGAAAATAAGTCTCTCAAGTCCATTAACAGTTATTGCTCTTTCTAGTATTGATGGCGGTTTCCTTCCTAATCTTTTGTTTGTAGTAGTGTGGAATATCAACATCTTGATTATATCATTATTTTCTCTTCGAGATATATGCGCGATCTATTTTAGTTGAAAGTACTCTAGTGACTTAGTTTCTATTTTTGGTACACAAGGTTTTGAAGAAGTGTAGTCCTCGCTAAAATCTACAGATTTCATTTGTTGGAAACAGTTTTTAATCATTGAATTGAGAAATCATTTGTATAGATTCGACGGGACACTAGGAATGTATTTCCTTATTTTTCGCAAGAAGTCATGGCGCTTCTCAGATATTAAAGTGAATCTAAACCATGATGCCAGTAGTCCTGAAAAGAAATGGAATTAAAAAAATGAAAAATAATGCTTTGTGGGAAATGCAACGTTATTAGTATTGTATTACAACGTTTTCTTTTTCGGATACAATCTAAAAATAGTACATATTTTAATAGCAACATTTTTGCTTTTAACTTATTTCTAAAACATCAAAATTGAATAGTGAATATTTGTGCATATAGGGATGGGCTCCGTGTTTGTCAATATATACGCGAACATTTACTGTAAATGAAAAGACGATTTTCCGAGAATATCCATGACTATATTTCCGACAACGCTGACATCTACAAAAACAGGTGAACACAACTTTCCTTCACTGGAACGTATTATGCATGATTGGTAAATGCGCTTGTCAGACAAGTGACATAAATGTACTCTCACTTAAGGACCACTTGACAGATATGCGACTTGTCAGATATGTGACAGTTCTCAGTGATAACAAATCTTTCAGAGAACTTATTATTCTGAATTAGTATCTGTACATTAGTGTTCGTATCAATATGTGCATATATATTGCCTAAAAGCATGAGAATTATAGTTGTGGTTGGACACCCTATAGCTGAAAGATGATTCTTAATTTAGAAAAGCTCTGCCATTTCATATGGTGTTGATCATTTTTCTTTCCGGCGTGCATTTATTATAGACGCTTCTTAATAGCTGCTTATTTCTATAAATATACATGTCTATATAAATATAATATAATATAATATAATATCATATAATATATGATTTGGATGACAATATATATGTCGCCGAAAAAATAAAACTCGTCGAACACTTTAGAGGGAAAGCGCGAATTTGTAAACAGTGACGGCTACTGCTGATAATGCAAAGCTCTTTTATGAATCGAGCACTCTGAGTCACTGGCGTGTTTATTCAAAAATAAATACGTAAAAATTCACCTTCCTCTCCGCCGGGAGCTGATAGCCAAATCAATCGGGTTTCGATCCTGGTTCGAGGCAATCGGATGTCTAGCCACAGTGATGAGCTGTGATACAGCGAAACAGTCTGTCTATGAGTCGACAATATATATATATATATATATATATATATATATATATATATATATATGTGTGTGTGTGTGTGTGTGTGTGTGTGTGTGTGTGTGTGTGTGTGTGTTACTCAAATATAAAGGCACTGGAAAAAGACTCAATCACCAAACAATATTTTAGAACTCCTTCTTTGTAGGACAGATCCAGTCGGATCTTTACATTCATTTATCTTGAAGAAGATATGACGCCATCTTCTTCGCACCTCTATCGATGAGAAGGGCTTGTATCTGAAAAAAAAAACATTGTTGATCTCAAACAATTATTAATTCATTCGCAGAAAAAGACTTATTCTCATAATCCAAAATATATTTCAGCTTTAAATAATCCATAAAGGGTCGATAAATCATAAACCCCCAAATCAATCAATCAATGGTAAGGCCGAGAACTTTTCGCATGTATACTTACACAATTGGAGTTAGCAGTTTACATACAACCTTAGCCAAATACATTAAGTTCAGCTTCAAAACTATTTCTGAGATTTCATCCCAATAGTTTATCTGACTTTTCTCAGTTCCAATGACTGCCCATTTTAAGTATGGTGTATGTATATATGTGTTTGTGTGTGTGCCTCTGTGTGTGTGCCTCTGTGTGTGTGCCTCTCTCTCTCTGTGTGTGTGTGTGTATGTGTGCGATAATAATATAGTTTTAATGTATGCTATATTTATGGATAAAAGTGCTCAAGATCACAGACAGAGCGTGAGTAAATACAAAATAGACGCTGAGGTCAGCACCACGTAGAGTCAGTCCGTTTCATGACTGAATGCAGATATTCTCGAAAATGACTAACAAATGAACCGAAAGGACCCGAAAATAACAATCATTTGAAGATGTCCTACACATAAGTCCCCAAAAATATTTTCTACGCACTAAGGCAAAATAGCATATGAAACTTAACCGCCATTGTCAATCATTTTTTAATGAAACAAACACATACCCATAGAAACATCTACATACACAATATGAGGGACAACGCCAGAAATATAATCTTGCACATTACAAACTAATTTATTATAA